TTGAGTATATTTACGGTTTCGTCAAAAGGTTTCAAAGCTTTCTAAATGATAGACATTCTTATTTGTGCTGTTTGTTTAGTTTGTTTCTGAACTTCCTGTTTGTTTTAGCCCTAACCAAATACGCAGCAGATACGATTTGCTGGTGTACTTTGAAATTTGCGAACTGACGCCAGACGGTGAATATACGCCTGCATGTGTTGATCATTGCCAGTCTGCGCCGGCCAACGGAGTGTTTTTGCTGCATCAAGGCATTCAGCGCCGGATACGGGTTACGATCTGGAACGAAAACGGTGATGATCTGAACTGGATCGACTGCCAGGAGCTGGCGATAGGTTGAGTAGAACCATCGGTTTATACACTGATTACGGTATTACGTTCAGGGAGGATTCGAAATGTTCCTGACGGCGTTCAAGATGATTCAGACGTACTTTCATGCGGTCTCTTCCCCGGTAGATATTTCCAGCGAGAAAACACGGAAAGGTGATTTTCTGATTTTTTGTTAATTTATTATTTGACTAAATTAACATAATTTCGCGCAACGGCGTGTAGAATACATAATCTTAGTACTGAAAATAGATTCAGACCATTTATTGGAATCTGTTGCGTGAGAAAGTACCACAGATAAATAAAACATGCTGTGTTTGTCACAAGAAAAGAAAAGTTTATCACCGTTGGAATGTCTTCGTTGCGCTCTCATGAATTTGGCGCCCTTCTTTTCGTGAAGTTGATGATGAGGTTTTGATCTCCGTTCCTGTTCTTTTTAAAGGCAGGGTCTACAATCATTTGACAAGCGTAGCGTACAGTCTCTTATCTTGCAGAGAGTGATATGCAAGTTTCAACGTCTGAAGGAGGAATGGTAATTGATCACGACCGGGCTTGAACTCAGGACCTATCGGTTCGGAGTGGGACGCTCTACCGACCGAGCAGCCTCAATCCGGAGCGACATGTGGTAAAATGTTTGCCCAAGGCAGTTTATGAATATTAACCTCGAATGAAAGAGAACTCGGCACTTCTGGAGTTCGTAAACCTCTTAGACATTGTGCCAGCATGCTACACTCAGAATATCATTTAATCTAGTAACGGACAGAAATGTTTCGTGCAGCTCGATTTATGCCGAATGAGAAATACGTCAGATAAACTCTGAAAATGATTAATTTAATATCTGGCAGCTCAATGATTGACATTTGTTACATGGTAGTTGCGGCTGAGACTATTGATTTCGGTGATTGCTGCATGAAAATATTGTAAAGCAGGTATTTTGAGCTTCTTTTAGATTTTTCGATAAAAAATAATAATTAATATTAATATTAATATTAATTTAATTCTTCGATAATTTCACAGAAATAAACCAAACTGATGGTCCAGTGGTTCTACAAACGAAGAATGACG